CCGCCCCAGGAGCAGGGCCGCAGCACCAGCTCGGTGCAGGCCGCGGGGCCGCTGCACCGCCAGGGCCTGGCCGCCCGCCAGGCTTGCGCCAAGTTCAGGTGGGAGAGGCGCGGCGGGGCCGGGTGGCCGCGTGGACGCGGTCCGGTGTCACCAGGGGGCTGGCCTGGACAGGGAGGAGGCGCCGCCGTCTTCTGAGTGCGGCGTCCGGGGTTCGGCGCTGCTGCCCGGGGAAATGTGGGAGGAGTGGGAAGCCCCACACTGGACTGGAGGGGGCCGGCCGAGACGGGAGGGTGACCCCTAGTCGCCCCCCACAGTCCCCAGAGCCCTCTGACTTAGCGCCCGGCCCTGCGTGGCGGTGGCACGCCTTACACCAGTCTTCCCATATGGCCCGTGCCCCGGCGGGGCCTGGCGGGCAAAGGGGGCGGGAGGACACGCTGACTGTTCAGGGATATTGGGGGCCGTGGTGGAGGGGTTACTCGCGGTCACCGTGACCGTGTAGGGAACGGAGGGCAGGGGCAGAGGGTTGGTGCTGAGTGGGCAGCTCTCCAAGGTTCCATGGAGGGTCCCACCCGGCTCCTCTTGCCTTCCTCTCCCATAAGCAGTCCCACTCACGCGTGGGCTCCCACGCGGCTCTGCGCGCGAGCTCTAGGCGAACACCCTCACTGCCACATCAGTCACCCTGCGCTGCGCGCCGCCCCCCCGCCCCCCCCCCCGCACCGCAGCCACGGGACAAAAGCTCACACCCTTTTGTGCACACCCGCTGCGTTCAAGCGTCTAGCCCCCCCCCCCTTCCTTAGACCAAGTACTAGCAGAGAGGTGGCTCAGGGGGCCAAGGCAATAGCAAAGGAGATTCCACCCCCACCCGATGTCGTCCTCCGGTTCTGTCTTCCCTCCCCGCAGTGCTGTTGTTACCCGTGGAAAGCCTCTCTTCCGTAGGGCAGGGGGCTGTTTTCTCCCGCGGTCCCGCGAAGGTGAGCCCTTGGAATCTCTTCCCTCCCAAGGACAGGGTGGCCCGTGAGGAGCACCCCCGCTGCCCTACAGGTGTGAGAATGGAAAGACTTGGCGACTTTGGGGCCTGCGGGTGGCGCAGGGAGTGGAGACTCTTATTTTGAAGGAAAGCCCCCACCCGCCACCCCCGTGATTTGCACGCTGACCCAATGGCAAGCCCTTGGCCAGCGCTGGGCTTGTTATCAATTACATGTTGTTCCTGCAGCCGCTGTGTCCCCGCGAGGATAAACAGCAGGCTTGGCTAGCTGAGAGAGCGGGCGGAGTCGAGTGGCGGGCGGGGAGGGTGCCCAGAATAGGGTGTCCCCTCCCCCGGCACGCAGCTTGCACCACGTGCAGCTGGTTTTTAGGACCTGGGACATCTTCAGCCCTAGTTCGCCCTCTCTTTAATGCAATGCCAAGCCCTAGGAAATCCTAGAGTCCTTCATTCTCAGCACCTCAGTATTCTGACCTCTGGCATATGCAGTCCTGCACTAAGATCCTGTGGCCTGACTGGGATTGTCCCACTCCAGGCTCCCAGAATCACCTTTCACTCACTTACACTCATTCAGCAAAATCTGGCAGGCCATTTTTGACTCTGGTATTACAGCCTTGGACTGAACAGCCAGAACAGCTTATATTCTGGTGAGGAGGTAGATGGGAAACAAAGTTCACAAACACATAATCAAGATAGTTTCCCACAGTAGTGCTTACTGAGAAGAATATAATGTAGGATGATGTAATGAAGTAACTTCTCAGCTTAGATCTAAATAAGGAGCCTCGGGAATTCTGGAGGGAGAAGGACCCACATAGAAGGAACAGCTGGGGCAGCATGGAATGGTGGGTGAGCAGCAGAGCATTAGGGACGCAAGGATGAATAGGACCCAGTTTTTTTTGTTTTTTTTTTTTTGTTTTTTTTTTTGTTTTTTTTTTTGTTTCCAGAACTGGAGATTGACCTCAGGCCCTTGCACTTGCCAGGGAAGCTCTTATTTCACTGAGCCATCTCCCCGGCCCTGTTGTTTTGTCTTTGAGACAGAATCTTGCTATGTAGTTCAGGCTGACCTTGAACTCACTATGGAGGCCAGGTTGGACTCAAATTTGTGGCAATCCTCCCACCTCAGGCTCCCAGGTGCTGGGATTGCAGTTGTGCATCATCATTCCTAGCATGGAGTTTGGGTCTTATTTCTTTGAGACCTTATTGGAGGGGTTTCCTTCCATGATCATGCAACAATATCTATTTCTTCTACTATTTTCATATCATTTTATCTATGAATATCTCAGTTACTGTCTTTATTTTATTTTATTTTTTCTGTATTTAGGGCAAGGTCTACAGGGTCTACAGGGTCTCACTATGTAGATCAGACTCATAGTGATTCTCCTGTTTATAGCCTCCCAAGGGTTGGGATTACAGGGGCACAACACCATCCCCAGTCTTAATTGCCCTCTTAGTGGGCCCCAGGGTGGGCCAGCACAGCATGCTGGGGATCGGGGATCGAACCCCACCAGCCTACACTACACTCTGCCTAAGCAGGCGCTTTAGTCCACTGAGCTATCAGGCTGGCCCTTCAGTTTCTGTCCTTAAAAGGTAAAGATTTTAAAAATATGTAGCCACAAAGCCATTAATCACACTTTAACATATTAGTGGTTAATATGGAATATTCAGTTGGTGCTTATGTTGCAGGAGAGGTTTTAAGGCCTCTTTGGGGCCACAGGGCTGTTGGAGGCCCCCTAAATTCTTAGCATCCCAGCAGTAGCAGGGATCAGAACGACTACTATTTACCATATCTGAAGGCTGGTTCTTGCAGCCTTAACTGAGTGACCCCTTCGCATATGCAGAGCAGGTAATAAGTGAGCAGCATGTATGAGCTCATTGGTCGCTCACAGATCAAGGGGGACACAGAGAGGCTGTGCCACCTCCCTGAGGTTCCCCCCTGATAGCTGCAGACAAGGAGCAGAGCCCGAGCTCAGAGGCCTAGAGTAGAATGTGCTTCTGCCCAGTCTCACTACCCTTCACCTTGTCTCACACTTTCCCTCCTTCCCAACAATGATATGTATATTTTAAAACATATACCTAGTTTTAAATCCTTAGTGGAGTATTTAAACCCAAAAGCCAAAAATATCCTTTCTGGAGCTCCATGAAGCTTCTTGTCAGAGTTTGAAGTAGAAGTGAGAGAACCTGGCATCCCTAAGCAGGAGGGAGAGGTAAAGACCACTGAAGTGTGGAACATCTGGGGAAACTAGGGTTTAGGTAAAGCAAAGCCTTGCTGAAGGTTGTAGCTGATGATGGTGGTAGCCTATTGATCACAGGCAGAGTCGTGTGCAGGCTGAGATGCAGAAGGACGTGGGTGTGGATAATAATGCCAGGCTCCAGAGGATCTCTGGCTCATGATGCTCCAACCTCAGTAAACACCCAGCCTGCCATGGTCACTGGGTGGGGACAAAGGTCTAGAGGTGGCCTCATCATAGCTAACACTGTTGACTCTTTGGACACCAGACCTAGCATGGCCTTTGGCTTCAAAGGACACAGTGTTCTCCTCTCTTCTCTATCAACATCCTCTGAGCCCCTGCTGGGTACCAGGTGTCATACCAGGCACTGGGGACACAGCACAGACAGTGAGTCCACAGCAGAGTGCACTGGCTAGAGGGGAGACGGGCATTAGCTGAGCCTTCCTGAGGCGGTGAGTGTCCCACATGGGAGTGCAGTGGCCATGTGTGCAGGGGAGGAGATCCACCTTCCTCATTGGTCAAGGGGATCCCATCTTCTGTCCTACTAGGTGGTGGTGAGGTCCAAGGTGGTCATACATACAGGGTGCCCTGTGACTTCTTGTTGACTTCTGTATCTGTGTGTTACTGTTAGGTACAGGTAGAACATTTGGATCAAGCCTTACTCTACCTCCTCTGTTCTGGGCAGAGGAAAATGAGACTTGGGGATCTGAGAACCAAATTGTGGATAGGCTCTTCCTCTATCAGATGGAGAAATAGAGCAGCAGGGGTGGGTGTTTATCATTCTTTAATTTCTTTGTCTCAAAGCTACAGTTGTCAGATTAAAATACAGGCAACATAGTTAAATTTGAATCTCAGAAAAGATAATGTTAAAATATAAGAATGTCTCATCCAATAATATTGGTAGCATACTGATATTAAAAGAAATAAAGAAGTAGTAAAATCTGAAATTCACATTGACTGGGCAGCCTGTACTTTTATTTGCTCAATCTGGCAACCCTTCAGAAGCTCTAACTACACAGGGCCAGAGGGCAAAGAGCCATTCTCTCATCCGTGTTCTGTGACATGACAGGCATGAAGCTCAGATTCCTGTCCTCAGATATACAGTGGCTCCCTGACATTGGCCACTCTTAGATCCTTAGAGCTTCCTCACATCCTTTTCTCTTGTATTAATCCACATCATTCAGAGATACACATGTTCTTTTCCAGGATCATTCTGGAAAATGTGTTTGAAACCAGAAGTGCCCAGGTTGTGCAATGAGCCTGGAGAGGGATCTTTTGCAAACAAAGTGGTGCAATTTCAGAAAACACTTGCAGGCCCCATTCTCCCGCGGGATGGAGGCAGGATCAAGGCATTTGGCAATGAGAGGCCTTGCGCAGGCAGTTAGGGCAGGGGTGTGGGGGTGCACAGGCCCAGGAGGTGCCAGTAAGTGAAGTGTTCTCTGACCAGGCCTCCCTTATTCCCTCTCCACAGCCACCACCAGTACGGCCGGGCCAGCATGGTGGACCACTTGCTTCCAGTAGACGAGAACTTCTCGTCATCAAAGTGCTCTGTTGGTTTTCTGGGTGACAGGCTGGCCGGCCGGCAGGTGTACCACATGCTGCCGTCACCCCTCTCTGAGGATGACAGCGATGCCTCCAGCCCTTGCTCCTGTGCCAGCCCAGACTCTCAAACTCTCTGCTCCTGCTACAGTGGAGGCCTGCGCACCAAAGGCCAGGATAGCATCTTGGATTTCCTGCTGTCCCAGGCCACGCTAGGCGGTGGCGGTGGCGGCAATGGGGGCATTGGGGACAGCAGTGGTCCCATGACCTGGGGGACCTGGTGGAGGGCGCCAGGGTCTGTGAAGGGGGAGCATTGCTGCTTCCCCGAATTTCCTTTGGGTGACACTGATGACGTCCCCAGGCCATTTCAGCCAACGTTGGAGGAGATTGAAGAGTTCTTGGAAGAGAACATGGAGCCAGAAGTAAAGGAGGTGCCAGAGAACAACAGTAAGGACCTAGAGGCCCGTGGTCAGCTCTCTGCACCACACCGGAACCACCTCCATTCTGGCTCTGGAGGGAGAGAATGCTGTACCCCTCCACCAGGTGGCACCAGTGTGGGCGGCACCCAGGGCCCAGGAGAGGGGTCTGCACCTGAAGGGCCCATTCCAGTGCTGCTGCAGATCCAGCCTGTGCCTGTAAAGCACGAATCGGGCACTGGGCCTGCCTCCCCTGGGCAGGCCCCAGAGAACGTCAAGGTTGCCCAGCTCCTGGTCAATATCCAAGGGCAGACCTTTGCACTTGTGCCGCAGGTGGTGCCCTCCTCCAACTTGAACCTACCCTCAAAGTTCGTGCGCATTGCCCCTGTGCCCATCGCTGCCAAGCCCATTGGATCTGGACCCTTGGGGTCTGGCCCTGGTGGCCTCCTGGTGGGCCAGAAGTTCCCTAAGAACCCAGCAGCAGAACTCATCAAAATGCACAAATGTACTTTTCCTGGCTGCAGTAAGATGTACACCAAAAGTAGCCACCTCAAGGCCCACCTGCGCCGGCACACGGGTGAGAAGCCCTTCGCCTGCACTTGGCCAGGCTGCGGCTGGAGGTCAGTATGGTGGGGGACAGGCCCTGGCAGTGAGCACGTCCCTGCTCCTATCTGCTCCTATGGGTGTGTAGCGCATACTATTTTCTCTACTATTAGATAAGACTGATTAGGAAAGAGAGAGAGGGGTGGACAGGGGCAGGGCCAGAGCTGGCATAGCTGCCCAAAGACTTCCTTGTCCCTCTGGATTACTAAAGCCAGAAGCTACTTGGTGTCTCTAATTTCATAATGACCAGGTAAGACTTGTTAGGCCCTTGCTGCCTACTGGGTCTCCCAGTCCAGTGGGGCTGGGAGCAGTGGAAGGGTGTTCACACTAAGCAGGAATTGAGGGTGACAGCACAGGCTATGTGCCAGGGAAAGGCCTTTCCCATGCCTTGCAGTGCCCATGGGGTAAGTATCACCATCATTCCCAGATTTTGTCTGAGAACATGAAAGCTTGGGTTGGTCGTGTGCCTTTCTGAGGCTACCCTGCTCTGTAAATGGGATTTGAGCCCCAGGGGGTGAATCAGAGTGATCACATACAGAAAATGTTAGCCCCTCAGCCAGGGAGATGACGTTCCTTCACAGATGCCTATGGGCACATGGGCTGGGCCTGGTCCCTGTTTCCTCCCTGGGAACATGGAGGTGTGTTTTGAAAGCCACAAAAGCCAAGCACGAGGGAAGACCAGGCTGGATGACAGTACTGGGTCAAAGATGCAGAATCGTAGGTTCTCTGCTCTGCATGGCAAGGCAAGAACACTAGCTATCAAAGGGCAGGAAACTTTCCCAGGGTTGCCTGGCCTTTCAGTGCCAGAGGTGGATGGAATTGAATTCCTGTGCATCCATCTCTGGGTCCTCTGTGGGAGGGCATGTCTGCCTTTCCTAAAGTGTAGACAGCCTGTTGGAAACTCACATGCTCAGGGGTCATCCAGGTCCTGCTCAGTCTAGGACAACCATCTCTTAAGGATTCCTGACCTGGCAGAAAGGGCAGTATGTGCTGTCCACACATTGCTTGTCTTTGCCTCAGTTGCTGCTGCGCCTGCTGGGAGATGGGGTGAGTGGTATATGCATCCATGTACATATTGATTGCTATCTAACTAAACCTTGAAAATGGATGTATAGCTCTGTGTGTGTGTGTGTGTGTGTGTGTGTGTGTGCGTGTGCACACACATACATACTTGTGTCTGCATCTTGCTTTCTTCATATGTCCATGACCAAGTGTGTTTGTGTACCTCTTGTGTATGGTGGTATGTGGATATATTCACGTGTGTGGGTGTGGCGTGCAAGACTTTTGTTTCCTTCAATAGACCTTGGTTCCAAGAACTTGTGAGCATTGGCCCTGAGCAGAGGTCCTGGCCTGGTGAGATTGTATCTCAGGCTGGGAGCTGTTACATGGACTGTGCCCCTGGTAGCCCCTTTTCCATGTGCACCAAGCTGGCCCAAGAACTTTTCTCAAAGTGTCTTGTGTTACAGAGGCCCTTCTCCTTTCCTGAGAGAGGATGTTACTTTTGGTCCTGTCCCCACCACCCTACTCATGCAGCCCCTACAAACCCTCAGGGTTTGGTCTTGTTGTCCTTTCTCATACTGTGGGCTGCAAAGTGGGCACAGGGATAACAGTGTCTTTGTGAGGGAGGGTGTACATTGAAGGGGTGCTGTGTTGGGAGGTCATAGATTGCAGGGAAGAGCCCAGATGGGACAACAGGGGCCATCTTAAGGAGAGAAGGACACTATGACATCTTGTTTGGAGGAGGTGGTAAGGGCAGGGGTTTTGCACCCCATCTCTGATCAGCTACCAACTTGTTGTGTGCCTTTGGAGTGATCCTCCACAAAGCCTGTGTCCCCGTGTAGTGTGGAGGGCTAGCACTTTACAGCCATCAACAGAACCCTTCTTAGGGTACATGTTATCACTGTCATACATGGTCAGAACTGAGGCACGTCCAGCTTAGGAGGTTTCCCACACTTGTAGAGACTCTGCATATCTTCTTCCTTCCTTGGGATGGGTGGCCGCCTCCAGAACATTGGCCCTGACTCTCATGATGGGCTCATCTGTTTCAGTGCCATCCCCCTGCCAGTGCTGATGAATGGTTTCTCCAGCTGGGATAAGGTCAGGTAGGGCTGCAGGCTGGGAGAGCAAGCCCAAAGCCCAGAGCATATCTCAGGAAGGCAGACTATGGCTTTCACACAGTTGCTCCTGACAGTCATGAGTTACCTAGGGCAGGAGGTGCGAATGGGCACTTGTGGGAGGGATTCAGTTACATACTGTCTGAGCCCTGGCAGTGACTTCTCAGCCAGGATCCACTCAACTGAGGAAGGTTTAGCAGGTGTAGGCATGGTGAGTGCAGTGCAGTGCAGCCCCAGGAGCTGCCTCTGTTTTCTGCCCTCTGGGCTTCTAGAGGGCTCTCTAGATTCTTCCTAGTAGGTCTGTCATTCATGATGTCACACATGGCAGAAGCTTTGCCCATTTGGCAGCTGAGGAAATCTGTTTCTGGGAAGGGCTGTTTCTCTGAGGCTGAAGGAGTCCCTGGGTAATTTCAGGGGTCCTAAATCCATGGGGTTGTAGCCATGAGGTTTCTGTTGTCTTCAGTAAGATCCAAGGGTAAAGTTAGCTCTGCAGTTCCTTTTAGCTGTCAAGGGGGAGGATGGGCCCAGCATGGAGGCAGCTCAGCTTGGACAGGCTTGAGAAAGTGAAGATGATGACTTGTCATAGTTATGAGCCACCTACTATATACTGGGCACTATTTTCCTCTGTTCAGTCCCTTTACTCCCATGGGGACCTCATTACCTCCTGAGACTGTTCTGGTCTCTAAGTGTACAGCACGCAATTCAGTGGACTTAAATTCCAATCAGCTCCTCCCACACAAGCCCACAGGCTGGCTAGCATGCTCCCTTCTCTCTTCCCCTTCCTGAGGAGGATCCAGCCACTCTCCTCTGCAGCTCAGGAATAGGCCCACTCCAGGACCTTGGCCACTAATAGCATCTCCATGGTGGCTGTAATGATCTCAGCGTGGTCTGGGCTTTGTACTGTACACCCCCACTGGGTCTTCATAACAGCCTTCTAAAGTGTAGGTACCAACCTGCACTCAACTGAGGGGGAAACTGAGGTATGGAAGAATTGTGTCACGTGTTCCCAGGGATGTAGCTAGTGAGTGTGAACATGGGATGAACCCCTGGTGGGAACTGCAGCCCACTCTGCTAGCCACACCACCTGATACCAGAGTGACCAAGCCTATATCTTCACCTCAACCAGTCTGTCAGCCCCTTCAGCCTCTATACTTGTGGGCTTTGGGATTAAGGCTGAGCACAGCAAGCATGATGGTGACAGGAGCCCCTCGTGAATATTGTAAATGTTATGTGTACATTAGTTCATTTAATCCTCAAAATTGGCCTATGAGGTGGGTATCAGTATGTTGCATCCACTTTACAGGAGAGTAAATTAAGACACAGAGCAGGTTAGTAAGTTCTTTACTGTCACACAGCCACTACATAGTGGGCCAGCTATCTGCTCACTGTCTGTCCCAGCCCCTTGTGCATACCTTGGGGTGGTGAGCTGGATCTGGCCACCACCCTCACATCCTTGCCTGCCTGTCTGCTCAGGCTGTTCCCTACTCTTGAGGCCTCTTCTCTTCCTCCTCTTCCAGGCTAACTTGGGTCCTGGCACTGAGCCCTGGGCCCACAGAACAAATCACCTCCTCTGTTTAGCCCTAAGTCTCCTCCTCCCACTGCCCAGGTCAGTGTGTTCCTGAGTACTCAACCCTGCTTCCTTCTGCTATTGTCCTGCATCCAGCATTCCTTGTCTTTTCTACTCTTGTGACATAATTCTATACCATTGATGGGTCTGAAGCCAGACTCTTCTAGTCTCCAACCATCTGGGAAGGGGCTACTTGCAGCCTTCCTAGAAGTTGCCCTGTTTCATTCCCTAACACAGGCCTTCTTTGTTTCCCACAGCAGAACATCCTGTTCCTGAATAGCCAAGCTATTTCTCCAGAAATAATCCCTTTCCTCCATAGCTAATGTGAATATTAATAACTGCCACAGCCCTAGGTGGCAGGTACTGTTGTCATCAACAGTGGACACAGGAGGGCCAGAAAAGGGCAATTTCAGGCCCAGGGGCACAGAGCCAGGAGGTGGGGAAACAGATTTCCAAGCCAGTGGCTCCCAGCCTGCTCTCTTGTCCCCTATGTCACTGATGTTCTTATGCAGTAAAGTATTCTCTGGCCCCATGCTTGTGCTACACAGGAGCTCCAGAGATGGTTGGGCAGGCTGTGCATTACACAACCCGAGAGAGTTTCATTTCCATTGTAGCCACCAAGACTTGGTTGTGTATGATGGTGACTTTCTGGCAGATGGAGATGAGTGTGTCAAGGAAGGGGCAACTTCACAGCAAGGAGCTGTGTGCACTAGTGCTGATGTTGTAGGCTGCTTCCAGGGAACTACCCAGATCCCATGCTTCCTCTGCTCTACAGCCCAGCAGAACAAATGATGGCTTCCCCAAAGCCCCACACACATACTGTAGGACCTCACCAGGGACTGACCTTGCACTGAACTAGATGCATGTGATAAGAGCTCACAATTCTTGAACAACTGCTGCATGCCAAGCACTCATCTAAACACTTACTTCATGGCATTTTACACTGTCCTAGGAGAGGTCATTCTCTCTGTGTAGGTGGGGAAACTGAGGCTTAGCAAGCTTAGGGGCTTATCAGTTTGCCTGTTCACTCCAGAGCCTTCATCTTACCCATCCCATCCCTGCCCTTCCCACTGTAGTCTCAGACTTTTCTGTTGGCTGCTATTGGGAGAATATGTGGTTGGGGTGGGGATCTCCTGGGGAGGTCTAGTCCAGGAATGGTCCCTCAGGTGCCAAGGTGCTGTAGCAGCAGGGAAGGGGCTCAGAGTGGGGACAGATTGTTCCAGCTTGCTGTAGTCTGGGTGCCCCTCAGCTGCCCATCCCTCCCAGGGTGTCTCTGTAAGTAGAGCTCCATTGTGGCCTATGTCACCTTCAGATGAACCCTGAGGGCTGACAGAAAATGCAGTCTTCATTGGACAAGTGAGGAAACTGAAGCCCCTGATGGTTCGGTCATTTGCGCAGGACCACACAGGGCATCCAGTTGGATGAGAATGGTCAAGGCAAGACTGAAAGAATCTTGCCTTGTTGAGCCTCTGTCCATGGTCTCGCCTGCCCAATAGAACTGGTCCCAGCCCCCTGGCTAGTGCCTGGGAAGACTTGCCCCTGCCATCTCATTTGTTGAGGAGCTTGGTCCCCAGCTCCAGCTGGAGGCAGTTGTCCCTGTCCTGGGGGACAACTAGAAACACACTACCTAGCCAGGTAGGGAAGCTCTGGTGGAAGCTGAAAGCATCAGTTGGGAATCCAAGCTGTCTTCATTTACCACAGTAGCCAGGGAAAGGAAAGCTGCAGCAGGGGGCTGTTCAGAGGCCTTTGCTATGGTTTCAGCTGCTCTGTCTTGCCACTGACCCTGTATCAGCACCATGAGTGTTTCCTTATCTGCCATACAGGACAGTTGTACTTCATTGAGTATGAAAATATGCTGAGAGGCCTTCTCTGTGCCAGGCACTGATGATGCCCTGAATGTGGGCTGAAATGCCAGTTTCCAAGTGCAGCAGCTGTTCTCTGTCTGGGAGCAGGTCTGTGGGCTCCAGGGCAGCAGAAGAGATCAAGGCACTTACTATTGTGCAGAACCTTCCCGTGCCCACCTGAGCCCTTGCCTACACATGTGTTATTGGGTCCTGTTCCCCTTCCAGCTATAGAACCAAGGTTGCCAAGGTCAGAACAGAGGTGGGCTACCTGCTCGAATCAGTTGGATGGGTTGGCATCTGATTCTCTGGTCTATAACCTGACCTGTCTCTGGCCAAGTAGCTCCAAGTATAGAAATGATGTTTTAGACCTGGTGTTCCTATGTGTATGTGTGTTCATGCATGTGTGGATACATGTGTGCATGCATGTAAGAGCACATTATATGTATATATGTACACATGCTTATACATATGTATACATCCACTGGGATTGCCCCTGCAGTGGCTCCTTGTCCTCCTGAGGCACTTGGTAGGTCCACACTTTCATTTGAATGTACTTACTGAGCACCTACCATAAAGTAGGCAGTGGGCTGGCCAAAGGGGAGACCACAGGGAACCAGACAGACATGTTCTTCTTGATGGAGATGACATTCTAGTGGGACAGACTAATGCTCATCAGAATATTGAAACTAATTTAAAATTGTGGCAGTAGGGACCAGGGAGACAGCTCAGTGGCATAAGCACCTGCCTGGCAAGCACAATATCCTAAACAAACAAAAATTGCGCTAGTGGCATGAGTGAGGAAAGAGAGGTGCATAATGTACCTAGAATGAGGTGCTGGAGGGAGGTCTTTCCTAAGAAAGTAGCATTTGAGCTGACCTCTAAGAGAGATGTAGAAGACAGCAAGGATGAGGAGGGAGGAGCATTCTAGACAGAACATTACAGACAACTGGCCCATAGCAACACCCCAGAAAGTCCATTGTATGCGGAGCACAGAGGAGGCAGGGGTGGCTTCATGAATTGCCAGGACCAGTGTCAGGTGGGGAGAGTCTCAGGTCCCTGAAGTCAGCATTGGGGCACCTTATCTGGACTGTGTTTCTTGCTTATTACAGGAGTTTTTGCCCCCAGGCTAGTAGAGGTGGAAAGGGTGACATCAGAGAAACTAAAACTTAAATATCTCTCAGGGTTCAGTTTTGTTTAGGAGGCTTTTAAGGGGCCACACACCCAATACAGCAGGGTCCAGGAGTGGCTTTCTAGTCCAAAGACCCATTTTCCTGCTGTAACAGGAAATACAAAGGAGCTATGAGCTCCCTGGAGGCTGGGGGTCGGGGCTGCTTCCTTCTCCTGGGCCTCAGTTTCTCCTGTGAGCCAGTTTCTGATAGTCCTTTAGGGATGCCCTTTTGGAGTTTTGGTTCAGTGGGGAAGATGAGGCCACAGGGTACCGAGAGGCAGCCCAGGTCAGGACCTGAGTGACCTGAGGATCCTCAGGGTCCCCCAGGCCCAACAGCAACTGTATGAGCCATGAAAGCATCCTACTCTTGGCAGCCTTAGATCCTGCCATCCAGAATGCTCAGAACGGACCCCTCTGTGACAGCTGAGCCAGTGGTCTGTGGTTCTTGCCATCCTGGAGGGGTAGCAGGGGGCTGTCTTGTGGCTGAACAGTGACCACTGCCAGTGAAGGCCGAAGTGATACGGTATTGTGAGACCCAGCATGGCCTCTCTAACCCTGCCCTAATCCCTTGGAGGCTGAGCATCCTTGCCTGAGCGCTAGGTGGGTGCCTGGGGGCCTGCGAGCTGCGCCTTGCTGACCCGCCATGTCCCGCAGGTTCTCACGCTCCGATGAGCTGTCACGGCACCGGCGCTCGCACTCCGGCGTGAAGCCATACCAGTGTCCTGTGTGCGAGAAGAAGTTCGCACGGAGCGACCACCTCTCCAAGCACATCAAAGTGCACCGCTTCCCGCGGAGCAGCCGGTCGGTGCGTGGTGTGAACTAAGGGCACCGCCAGTCCCAACCCTGCCTCCTATCCCCAGACTCATTTTTTTAAAACAATAATTTATTTGCCTCCTTCAGAGGGAGGGATGTGACAATGTTACCAGCCTACCTTCTGAAACCTAGAAGTTGAGACCCCAGAGCCATCACCCACTGCCTTTTCTGGGAGGACTTAGAGCCACACTCCTGCGTCCCTGGGGGCTGGGTCACCAGCACCTGGGGCCGGAGGCAGGCCTTGGTGCCTTTGTGCTTTTGTGCCTTCCTGCAGCAGCCGCGCCTGTGCCACAGCCACCAGCTTGAAGCAGGGTCCTGGGGGCCTGGCCCTTTTCCCACTGGGCGCTTTACCTGGGCCAAAGCCAACATTTTATGTCTGGGGAAGAAGAAATGTGCAGTTTAGAAATTTCAGTTCCCAGGGGAGCCAAGCTGGGAAGAAGGAAATAGGCCAAAGTCCAGGACTGCACTATGGTGTGAAGGCAGCTGGCATTTAAGATGCACCTCTAAGGCTGAATGGAGGGTGTGGCAGGGCTCTTGCCCTGGCCTCTGGGCGTATGTGGGAAAGAGTGCCCCCTGCCTCCTGGGCCCACAGCGCATGTGCTTGAGTTCAGTGTGCAAGACAGACAGAACCATAAGCATCTGTCCCCAGCTTGGCTCATTCCTGTCTCGTGTTTGCCAGATAAATGCTGACACCAGCCTCTAGGGTCACCTTCCAGAGGAGAGGGAAGCAGGCTGCTCTAGCTGTGAAAGACCTAGGTAGAGTCTCCCAGCCCTGATTTAGAAATGCATTCCTTGTTTTGTCTAGAAATTAATATCAAACAAACTAGCTTGTTTTGACAGGTTTATTTCACATCCTATGAATGTATGTAAATAAGCTGTACATAGGTACATCAACATAAAATCTTTTAATAACATTGACATGTGTGTAAATTTGAAATTAAATCTATAAAGCTGGTGTACATATGTTACAATTATGTATATTTTCTTTGGTCCTTCATAAAAATATATTTACTTTGCCAATAAAAAGAAAAAAGTCAGCTGCTTTTCTTGGCATTCGTGTGTTGTTTTCCTCCATTCTGCTGTGATGAGACTGGGACTGAGTCTTCATGTCTACACTGGGAGAGTTCAAAGGATCTTGTTTTGTACCCAGAGGGATACAGAAGTCCCCTTGGCATCCAACCCTTTGGTTCTGCTCACTATAGTTTTACTCCTTAGACCTCCATGACCTTCTCTCCTTAAGCCCAAATCTAACCCATATTCCTGCATCACATGTGGGAAGCTGCATCAGGCCAGGTTATCCTGCCCAGATCACCTGCCTCCCTGATTTTCTATTTTAGCCTCTCAGTCAGTAGCTGATACCATGTTCAGCCCCTCAGGGACCTTGTGTGTGCCCCTGTGTACTTGTGTGTGTGTCCTGAGGGCAGGCCATTTACTCACTTCCCCTGGACCATTTCCTGTCTGCACAGAGGATTTTGACTGTATTATGAGTCTTGTCCAGGCATTGGTGAGATGCACAGAGGCCAGCATATAGACTTAGACCATGTCCTTTTTCCTTTCCAATTGCCTTGTGTGTTTGAGATGTGGATATGTGTACATATCCTGGCACTGTGGGGCCTGGCACTATGGGGCCAGAGGATGAGGAGAGACAGTGGGCTCTGCTGAGAACGGCCCTATGGAAGTGACTAGGTCCAGCATGCCACAGCAGCTCAGCTGGTGCGAGGCAGAGAGGGAGGTCTGCCCTGGGTCACCCACATGCAAAGAGAGATGAGAATCTTCTGGGAGTGGCCCTTTGCTGTGGTCTCAGCTCTTTAGAAGACTCAAAGGCATTGGGGCATGTTTTTCTCATTGAGCCTCTTGGAGATCTGAGGGCAATTGGCAGACAGATTTCTAGCAGGGAAATGTTTGTGTGGGGTGTATGTGCACGTGTGCATGAAAATGTGCACCTCAGGAGGTGAAGGCCATTGTTTTTGCTGCCTTAGGACCTGGCTGCTGCTTGTCTGTCCAGTGGTAGCAGGCAGGCACTGAGTTTTTGTGTGTGCCCAGTGCCCAGCAAGCCTCTTGGGAGGACAGCCATCCCATTCTGACTGGCCTGTCTTGGGGAAAGGCCTGGGTCTTGTAACCTCTGCCCTTTGCCCCTGAATGCCCTTTGCCTTTGAAGATAAACATGCCCTGGGGAAGTGAGGCATTGATTTCCAGCCCCAGTAACGTAATCTTTCTTCATAAACAAACAACACAGCCCCAGATAAGAAATTTGGACAGGGGTACTGTCCTTTGCTCCGAATGGTGGTGGAAGAGAAGGAATGAAGCTATGATATACAAACCTCCATGGCTGAGGACCGGCTCACATACACTGCTCTTCTATCTTTAGTGTTATGTCCCCTGCAGCCCATCTGACTGCCAGTTCTTCCAGCTGTGCCATCAGACCTAGGCTAGGCTGGCCATCTTGGACAGAGAGGATGTAGGTGGATCTAAGCAGTTCCCCATCTGGACACCCTTGAGGTGCACCTACTGTATGCTGTGTCTGCCTCATGGAAGCCTTGGTCAAGAGGAACAGGAGGTGCACATCAAGGCATGGAGCAGGGTCAGAGTGAGGCACAGGAGTCACGTCTCCTGTTCACCCTTGGCTCTGGCACTCTGGGTGGGTTTTTCACACCTCTCCAGATTCCAGCTCCTTCACCATGAAGGACAGGCAGGCATGAGCATTCTCAGGTCTCAGGGAGTGGGAAACAGTAAGTGAAGGCACAAATTCAACTTTGGTGACAGCTGGGATGCAGGGTGGGCAGATGGGAACTTGTGCCTCCTTTTTTCTCCATGGCAGATGGCCCTGATGTAGCAGTGCCACCGTAGGGGTCCAAAGAAAGGTAAGAATTGGGCTTCCTGGCTTGGCCTCTGCCTCCGGGAGACCCCTCTGCCATCTGCTGTCATCCTCTGTGATTTCTATGGTGGGAAGAAGGGTCCTTGTCTAGGTCTATGAGCTGAGAAAACAGATGGTAACATCCCCCACACATGTCCTGCAATTGTTTGTAGTAGGGAGGAATTTAGGTCACAGAGCAGAAAATCCAGATATTACAACTCCCCTCACACTCCATTCTGTTTAGTGTCTGCTCCCAAGTCACACAGAAGGGAAAGGAAGGACAATGAATCACTTTAGCAGGCAGCATGTGGGTCAAGGTGCTATAACAAAGAAGTCCCCAAATTCCATAGTTCCAACAAGGTAGAAGTTTATTTTCCTCTATTAAGAGCCTAAAGTAAGCAGGCTGGTTTTAGATGGTGGCTGTGGCATAAGATGCACAGGTTTCTCTTCTGTCACTCTTCCAGTTTCTAGGGTGCTGATTTAAGATGGCACAAAGGACCAGTTGGTATAGGCAGGTGTTGTAGTCAGAGTTTACAAGGGAAGGGATTTAATGCAGAACACACCATTTATAAGATTGTTTTATATTATTCACTCAAAGAATGAAATGAAAAAGAGTGTGGGAGATCTCTCCATACACTACAGAACCAAATAATCCATCTGAGGCCTGAATCCCACAGTAATGACCTGCATGAATCCAGCTGAAGACCTTGAGCCCATGACAATGTTTCATACAAGTCTGAATCAAGGATCTGCGCTGGGAAAGCCCAAAGGCCAGTGATGGAAGCTAGAGTCTGCACCAGCAGGACGAAGGATCTGTGCCAGCAGGCTGAGGGATCTGCACTGGAGCCAGGAAATAACACTCAAGGTAAGGACCAGAGCTCTCCCAAAGAGAACTGCAGTCATCCTGAGCAACAGTGAGGACCAGAGCTCTTCCCTTGATGAGAACAGTTGAGTTCATATCAGGGAAGCCAGCAAGACAAACTTGTGCAGGAGGATCAACAGCACACCGCCTTCCCCTCCAGTTCTCATTTTTATGATGTTGGCAATAATTCTCAGGTGGGCCTTCCACACCCAGCACCATGCTGATTTCAGTTCAGCTAGGTGTTACCAGTTGACCAATAGTTAATCCAGTTCAGCAGGTGAGGGACCCTGTCTTCTCTCCCTGTCCCCCAAGGCATGGACTAAGATGTGCACTGTCTGTTTTACTCATGTTCCATTGACCAGAAGTAAGTCACATGGCCTCATCAGTTGCAAAGTAAGCTGTAACATATTTTCCTCAGCTGGGAAGTAGGTGCCCAGCTAGAATATGGGGGATCTATTACAGGAGAAAGAAGAAAAAGTGGAAGTGGGGGGCAGTCAGCAGTTTCTACTACAAGCCAAGTATGCCATAAGCTTGCACAGCAGAGCTATGGAGCACCAAGGGGACTTCAGGTCTGTCAGGTCACCCATGTCCTCAGAAAGGACATACCCAACAAGTGGGGGAACCAATGGTTTGGATCTCAGGGACAATGGATTTTCAGGAAGGGAAACTTAATGAGGAAGCAGGAGGCCCCAGGTAGAATCTTCACACCTGTGGACAACTGCCAGCCCTTGAAATGTTCTTCACAGTCTCCTAATTCTCCCTCCTGTCTTCCTTTTCTCTTCTTGTACCCCTCCTCTTTCTCTTATTTTTCCCCCTCTTACCCCTCCTTCTCCTTCTTCTCTTTTTCCTTCTCTCCATTTTTCCTCTTTTTCTGGTACTGGTGATTGAACCCAGAACCTTCACACTGAGCTAATTAAGTTGGCTAGGCTGGGCTTGATTTTGTAACCCTCCTGCCTCAGACTCCCAGAGTACTGAGATTATAGACATGTACCACCATGCCTGTCCACTGTCTGCTTCTAAATAGGACTCAGAGTCTGTACAGGGACCATGTAGTGAGGTGGACAGAGTAAGAAGAGCTTGGAATCAGTGAATCCCTAGAAAGTTGTAATTTTCTTATGTTGCATTATTTCTGACTATCAAAGGTATAGGCAGGAGGAACCACTGGGAATAGGCATGTTCCACACAGGTATGAGGAAGGGATCTGCACTTACACAAGAGTGCGGTCAGGGTTGATCTAGTATGTGGCAAACAGCAGTTGTTTTTGTGTTTTGTTTTGAGAAAGGTATCACTATGTATTTTAGGCTGGCCTTGAACTCACTATGTACCCCAGGCTGGCCTCAAACTCTTTGGTGACTCTCCTGTCTCAATCTCCAAGAGTGCTGAGATTACAGATGTGTGGTACCACACTCAAACTTCAAACAGTGGCTCTGAACAGGACTTGCTTCAATAGAAGATAAGGTGGGAATGGAGGCAGCTTCTCTGCAGCCAATTGCAAAGGTGTAGAATAAGGGGGGGGGAGAGAGAGAGAGAGAGAGAGAGAGAGAGAGAGAGAGAGAGAGAGAGAGAGAGAGAGAGAGAGAGAGAGAGAGAGAGAGAGAGAGCACAGTATCTGGAAGACTCAGAAGGTTCACACTTGGATGATCCCCAGTGGGGCCCAGGCAGCCACCTCCAATAAAGAAGGAATGATGCCACTCCAGGGAGACCAATGAAAAGACCCAGGCACCAAGTGCAAAGTGCCAGCACAGGTTGAAAAGAAAGATGTGAGAGAAAAAGAGATACCAGGAAACAGACATGATCAGGGCATGGTTAAAATTCCCTAGGGGGCCAGCCAAATACCTCAGCGGATTAAAGTGACTGCAAGCAGGCACAGGGGCCAGGGTTCAATCCTGGGCCTGACATGCTGGCCCTGCCCCCCCTGGGGCAGGCTGAGATAGCGATTGAGACTGGGCATGGTGGCACCTATCTGTAATCCCAGCTCTTGGGAGGCTGTAAACAGGCAGATAGTTGTGAGTCTGATCTAGTAGTGAGATCCTGAACACCCTGTAGACCCTTCCCTAAAATACAAAGAAAAAAAATCCCCCTAGGAAGCCACAAGGAGGGAGGAGAGGGCAGGGAGATCAAACACACTGTGAGAACGAACAAGCAGAAACCTTCCTGGGTGCTGTGGAAAAGAAGGTTGAAAGTAGGGAGGACAACAAAGTTGCTGCTGTTAGGGAAAGTGAGAGATCTGATTCAGGCTCTGGGACAAATGGAACAGGTACCAAGAGCTCAAAAAATATCTTGCCCATGAAGGAGACCATGGCAAGTGGACTTCAGACATTGGGT